TAAAAAATATGGTGATTCTTAAGCTCTTTCCAATGTTCCAGTACTATACATAAAATTATATGGTTTCTACCTAAAGTCACAAGTCTACACCAGCGACCCCGTTAGACGATTCATGTCAGCATCATGAGCTTCTCCCTTATTCCTATCAGTCCAATTCTCTCCAGTGGGAAAATGCTTGAAATATGAAGCATATATAAATTCTTGACAAAAATGATAACATTTTGAGTTTGATTCTGTTAAATTTCTATGTTAATCCTAAATCCCCTTGGAGTTAAAAGTCCCTTATGGACTAGAAAGAGTGACATCATCTATGAAGTTATATCACCTGGGAACAATTCTCAAGACCACCCTCACTTCTGATGCCAATTGCAGAGTCTGGGGTCCCCAAGACCCCATTGGGTCTGCTGATTCGCTCGAAGGGCTCCCAGAACTCACTAGAGCTGTCGTGCTCACAGTTACGGTTTATCACAGGGAAAGGACCCAGACCGCCATCAGCCAGGGGAAGGGGCGCCCAGAGCAGGGCCCAGGAGGGTCCATACTGCCCTCTCCCCGTGGAGTCGCGGGCCCCGAAGTGACAGCACATACGAGTGTTGCCAGCCGGGGAAGCCCCCAGCCTCGGTGTCCAGGGTCTTTATCTGGTTCCCGTCACGCAGACCCGGTTGGCTGCCCGCGTGGCTGACCTCAGTCTCCAGCCCCTCCGGAGGCCGAGCTGATACCGTGTGGCCCAGAGCCCCAGGGGAACAAGGACACTGGACTCAGGATGTCTCCGGGCTCAGCGGTGACCTCCCAGCAGCTGAGGACAGAGGCCCGACCTCCCTGGGGCAAGGTGAAGTTCACACTACCCCGAACAATTTTCCGTGTGGCCTTCTGCCCTCTGGCTGTCCACCAAAATCCTCCCCCCCACTCCCTCCTACATGCAGCTATAGATGTGGCCCTGTGACTGCGTGCCCTGGGGCTGGTGTGCGTGGCAGTGATGGGCCTCTTCCCTGGGCTTCTCTGAGCCTAAAGACTGTGGTATGCCCTTCCTGTGTCTTTGCCCTTCCTCTGGCTTCAGGCAGCAGACAAGGACAGTGGCCTGGATGTGGCAGCGCACCTGCAAGGTCTGAATAAGCCCAGGAGCCCAGGCACCAGCTGCACGCTCATGGGACTGCAAAGAAGCCGTTTTGTTGGGCCTCTTTGTTACAGCAGCTTGGCCTCACTCTGACTCATACACTTTTCCAAGCCCGTTTCTCAGGCTGGCCCTTGCAGCTTGCTTAACCCCCAGGGCTATGTGCTCACCCCCAGCAGCACATTAAGGGGACATGCAAGACCTATGTCTCAGCTGAGCCTTGGAGAGACAATAGGGAGTAACACTCTGAGCACCTCCCCAGCCTGGGCCCCCTGCCCTCTGACCCTCATGCCAGCTCTATGGGCAGACCTGACCTTAGAGAAAAGGCAGCCCTGGGGCTTGAGCCCACATCCACACGGCTCAGAAGCCCCGCAGCGAATTGGATCTGTAGGGTGAGCCCCCGCAGGGCTTCTGGATGGCCTGTCTCCAGTTCCAGCTCTGATCCCCAAAGGGAGGCAAGCAAAGCCCCTCCCTGTGCCTCAGTTTCCCCACGCACTTGTTGAGAAGGGAGGCTGGGTAGTCTGTGATCATGGGCAAGCAAGACGGGGAGGCGTGAGCGAGGCCTGTTCTGGGAACATCCCGTTCCGTTTGGGACGTGACTGGGTCTGGGCCCCTCCACCCCACTCCACCCCGCCCTGCTCCTCCCTCACCCTCAGCCTCTTCTCTGAGGACACAGAGATTCGGAGCTGCATCTCCAATTATTTGAAGTGCTCAGATAGCCTGTCTCACAATCATCCAATTACAGGGAGTAGTTTTTTATTATTAAAAAGAAAAAGCACCTACAGCTTCCAGCTTTTGATGTGAGCTGGAGTGTTTCTCTGGGAGAGATCACTGCCTCTCAGGCGTCGCCGTGGGGCCCCGGCCTCCTGTTCCCGTCAATTTCCTTTCCCCATTCTTGTCACAGTGTCCATTATTTAAAAGAAATAAAAGGGAAGAATAGGGAACAGGCTGCCTTCTCGCCACGGAGGGCCTTGCTCAGGGCTGCCAGCCCCCCCCCCCCCGCAGAGGTGACGACACTTCCTCGTGGCAGGTGGTTCTTTCTGCCCCCGCTCACTTCCTGCCCCCGCAGGTCTCCTCCTTGTGGCCTCGCAGGGCTCCTTCCTCCACAGGACCCTGCAGCGAGGCTCTAGCAGGGGCGGCCCGCCCCAGGCTGGCCTGTGCTCGCACTACGCACACCTGCCTTGGCCCCCTGGCCCAGCACCCCCTGGAGCAGAGCAGCCCCTCTGGAGGGGAGTACCTGTGCTGGGTGGGTGACCAGCATCTGCCCATGACTGTGGCATTTGCGATGGTCAGTTTTACATGTCAGCCTCGCTAGGGAACCATCCCCCAGCATTCAATCAAACCCTAATGCAAGTATTGCTTGGAAGGCCTTTTGCAGGTGTGACTGAAGCCCATAATCAGTTGACTTTACCTAAGGATGATCACCGAGGGCATCTGGGTGGGCCTGTCTCAATCAGTTGACGGGCCCTAATTGCGGCGGGAAGAAGAAATCCCACAGCAGCTCAGCCTGAGCCCCGGAGGTCCAGCCTGCCCCACAACTGAGCAAGCGAACTCCTTGTAACCAAAGGCTCACTGTCCACCTCCACTGGGCCTGCTTCTCCTTGATCACTGGCTGGTCCAGGGGTTTGAGCCCTCTCCAGTCTAGCTCTCCCTCTCGGGGGCCTTGGGACCTCACAGAGGCCAGTGAGGTTCCATGCCACCCACAGGGCACAAGATGGCCCTTGTCTCTCCGTTCTTGAACCTGCACATGGATTTATATTAGTGATGGTTTGCTCATTTGGCAGATGAGGAAACGGGCTTGGAGAGAACACGTTTACGACCCAGGATTTGTCAGGGTCACCTCCCAGCGGGGATCTTGCCTTGCCTGGGTCCCCAGGGCTCGATGCTGGAGGAGACCCCGAGGCAGAAGCCCTGGGCCTCCATGTGGGCTGAGGCTGGTGGCAGGAGAGCTCTTAGGACACCCCCACGCCCCAGCGGGCAGGGGGCAGAGGATGCTGGGGGGCAGTCCTCAGCTTAGCCAGGAGGCAGTCTCCAACAATCTCTGCCACTGCTGGCTGCCTCAGGCCTGGAGGCCACAGGGCGTGGGCTTCCATGAGGGGAGCCCCTAAGGCCCTATTGTCCTGAGGATCCAGGACCCTGACCAACTGGTCTGCAGGGTGACGGGGCTGTGCTCCCTAGGTCCCCAAAGACCCTTCATTCTGCACTCATGTGGCTTCTGGGGACCACCACCCTGAGCCACCTCCCTCTGCAGCTCCATGCCAGCCAACGAGAAACAACAGCACACACCGAGAAGTTTCACTGTTTTATTAACAAAATCTTACAAAAGAGTCTGTCTTCAGGTAAGGTGACAGGGGTACACACAGCCTGGTCCGACACTGAAGGCCTGACCCGCTGGGGGCGGGGGGGGGGGGGGGGGGGACCAGTCACACCCTCTTGAGGACCCCAGGGCCTCCCTGCAGCCTATGCCAGCCTATGAGTATGGGTTATGGCTTATGTGCAAAAATAAAATCTGGGGGGGGAGCCGGCAGGAGTGCAGGATGGAGGAACTGACAGAGTCACCTGCAGCCATCAGTCCCCTGAATCTGGAAACCCCCACTGGACAGGCAGAAAGGAGAACCCCCGGCCAGGGCCTCCTCGGGCTGCAGATACGAGTGGCCGGCCAGCACCGGGGCGCTGGGGGTCCCCCAGGTGGGGGTCTGGGCCCCGGCTATGGCGGGGCCTGCCTAAGCCCCAGGTGCAAGGCTTCTGGGATCTCCTGGGGCTGGGCCTGGGGCTGCGGGCAGGGGCTGGGGCTGGAGCCTCAGCCTCAGAGCTCCTGGAAAGCTCTGGCAAGAGAGGACGGCCGCCGTGCGGTGGGCAAGGGTTCCTGGGCTGGAGCGAGACCGGCCCGAGGTAGCAGACCCCACCTCCAGCCACAGCGGCCGTGGGGGCGGGCAGGCTGGTGGTCAGCGGGGCAGGCCTAGAGGCAGGCCCTGGCCCTCACACTGGCCCGTCTTCATCACCAGCTCTCTGCCGGGCCCACCCTCTCTGCGGCCCCTCTGCTGACCTCAGCGTCTCCTCGGGCGGGCAGCTTGCAGGAGGAGAGGGAGGGGCATGCCAGGCATGGCAGGGAAGGCTCTGTGGGAGCGGGAGCGTTGAGACCTGAAAGAAAGGGGGGGGGCGGTTAGAGACAGGCCACAGGCTGGGAGGGCCCCCACCGGAGGGGTATGGGATGGACGCTATGGG